GGGATAGATAGATAGATAGATAGATAGATAGATAGATAGAGGGGGTGTATGGGGATAGATAGATAGATAGGGTGTGTGGGAATAGATAGATAGATAGATAGATAATGTGCGCATGAACATCAATCCATCGATCACCTGGGAATTGGGACGGCTGTTGGGCATGTCTTCGGGGCGACCTCGCTCTGGACTCCAGGTGCCTGTCTTCTGGAACATCGCTTGTGCTCTCTCGGTGACCCAGGACTGGCTCTCCTTGATGCCCCCTTCAGGCGCACTCCTGCCAGAGCAGACAGGATGTCAGGCCATAGTCCCCCGTGCTGCGAGGGCTGGCCTAGAGGGGCTCACAGCAATGCAGGCAGCGCATCTGCCGTTAACAGAGCCAAGCCAGCATCGCCCAGCTTCTCTGGCAGCCCTGGGCTCTCTCACAGGGAGACTCCAGTCCTCGCCTCTCCCAGCAGGGGGCGCTGTGGGGCGTGGGGCAGGAGCGCTGGCTGTGGGACGAGCTCCCGGCTATGCCAGTCCTGGGCTTTCCAGCAAGGGGTACTGTAGGGAGCAGGGCAGGACAACCAGATAGAGAATGCACAGGACTTACAGGCCACCCCCTTGGTCCAGCTGGGAGGACGGGAGAGCATTCTGCCCCGGGACCCCCTCCTGGGTGGGGGACGGCGGCTCCATACGCTGGAACATGAGCGGCGTTCGATTCTGCAGGGAACACAGGAGGCATCAGACCAGCTTATGGGAAGGAAAAAAAGCTGTGAGGAGGCTCCCAAGCTAGCCTGGGCACCCTCCTTCCCCCTGGCTGGGATGCTGGGCTCAAACCTCCAGCCCAGAGGTGGAGCATTTCACTGTGATAGCGGCTTTCACCTGAGGGTCTCAATGCACTTCACAGGCAGCTCCACCCTCCTGCTCCCAGGAGGTGAGTCTGCCTGACCAGCCCCATGTGAGGGGGAAACCGAGGCACAGAGTGGCCAAGGGGCTTACTCAAGTGAGTCAGTGGAAGAGCCAGGAATTGAACCCCGGGGGACGTACCTGCTCCTCCCTCATGGCCTGGAGCTTCTTGGCCTTGCTTTGCCGGTAGTACTCCATGATCATCATAGCGGCGTAGATCTTCCCGACTGTCAGGTCCGTGGCTGGGGGAGGCAGGAAGGGAGAGAGGCTGAGCATTATCAGCCCCCCCCCCCCGCCCCGCCCTGGCCCAGCATGAAGCAGCCCAACTCCCCCCAGAATTTCAACCCTCTCAGCCTCTGGTCTCCAAAGCCGAGCGCCCCACTGGTGGTGGGGAAGATGTGGGCGCAGACTCTGGGCCCACACAGGTCTTGGCCCTGGGCACAGCAAGGAGTAGAGATGCCAGAGAGATAAGGGGCTTTGCAGACCAGACAGATCTCTGGGGATGGATGGACGGACAGACGGACCTCCGTGCTGAGTGGCTGGGAGTCTCCAGGGCTCAGCTCGCCAAAAGTCACCGGCACATTGGGATAGAACCCAGGAGTCCTGATGCTCTAACCACTAGACCTCACTCCCTTCCCACACCCCAGGAGTCCTGACTCCCAGCGCCCCGCTCTAACCAGCACACACCTCTCTCTCGCAAGGCACAGAATGGGCATGGGCCAGCGCGCTCAGCCCTGCACAGCTCACCCTGCTGGGCAGCAGTGACCTGGTTAACGGGGGGCGGTGCGACGCCCATCCCCGGGAAGTTCCCAGGCCAGGGCTGGGGCTGGCCGCCCCTATAGCGGAAGCCAGGCGGTCTGGCGAGCTTGGGGACAGCGCGGGGAACAAGCAGGGGTGCTCACATTTGTGAGGGGTGACAAGGAGATCCAGGTTCTTGTGGGAGAGGTTGGGCCAGATGGCCATCATCTCCTTCCGCAGCTCGGCGTCCATCTGCTGCTTGTCGGCTCCTCCTGGAAGGCACAAGCCGGGGGGAAGGTCAGCGGCTGGGCATCGGAGCCCCGAACTATCAGATCCCCAGTGAAAGTGCTACTGTCCTGCTTCCTGGAGCAGCCAGCAGCTCCCCCCACAGCCAGCGTTCCTGCCCTGTTCAATACAGCGCCCCCTGCT